TGATAGCTCGTGCACAATTGCTTTATTAATTTTGAGAGATAAACTCACAGCACAAGGACGTAAATGAGGAAAAGCTTTGTCGCAGCGCGAAGAGTCAGATTTAAAATGATGTATTCTCAGATTTAATATTTCAAACTCGCTTTTCAGCTCGGTGGTTAGCTTTGTGGCCTCACGGGTTGCTGGTTTGAATCCCGGTTTGTCCGTGGTACTACTGCATGGAGTTTGAACGCTCTCCATGAGTCTCTGTGGGTTTCTCCGACTTGCTCACGGGAAAGGTGGCACAGATGATGGATGAACTGCCATCTCATTTTTTGGGATTTTCTCTCATGCACCAGTCTTTAATTTTTTGTCAGTGGTTTTTATCTGCACCACAGATAAACCCCAAGTGGTGCTTTGTTTATTTTTTTAATAAGGCCCATGATGGCATCAGTTCTCATTTCTTATTATAATCCCCAACGACTCAATTTCACTTCTATTTCTTTAAGACCACGTTTTTTTCTTACTGAAGCACCCGCCCCTCAAAATGTCTGTGCACAGCCCTGGGCCCAGTGCGCAGTGGCAGCAAACGACCTCTTGAAAACAGCCGTCAGTTTCTCCGCAGCTTCGTCTTCACACACTGACATACACCATTAAAGTCACGCTTGAAGAATTGAGCAGTGACAACGGAGGAAGACTTTGGGAACAAAGACCAGCTGAGTCTGACTGTCTTCAAATGTCTTTAAGATTGAACCGGCTGAGACCATTAGTTAAATTAACCTCTGCTTCGGAGTCATTACCACAAACATCAGCAAACTAACTTTTCTGAGAGCTCGACATGAAAGAGGCCCACAGAGTTTTGCACTCATTAACCTCCAGACACATGACGCCAACAAATAAGGGAGAGATGGAGAAAAGTTTCTGGACTTGATTTTCGGTGGAAACATTCTTCAGACCTGTTTGTTTGCTCTCTCGTTGTCTGACGTCTCCTGGGAATCTCTGCTGGTCTCTGCTGCAGAGGAAAATCACCTGTTTGAAGCCCGGAGGAGAAATCTGCAGGCTTTTATCTCAATAGACAGAAAATCAAACAGTCTGATTTTTACAGATTTTCTTTACCCTTTACTGTCACCAGGGGAATTTAACTGTGGTTGTGTGTCTGGTTTATTCATTATTTTAATTAAGAGCTCAGAGTCATTGGATGCAACAAAATTATAAAACAGGATCAGTCCTCTGTCTCCTTCTGGTTTGAAGTCATTAAGTGTATTTGCATATATTTTGCAGTAGTTACCTGCATCATTACCTGAATTTTTGACTTTTCGTAGAAGAGTCCTGCACAAAAAGATTTAAAAAACAGAAATATTTTGTGCATCTCTGAAGTGAAAGGTGTGTCGGAGAAACCAAATGTAATAAAATATCATGTTGCACATTTACGTGCATGCAAGTGCCCAATAAATTACACGTCCCATCCCTCCTCTAAGTTACACACTAATCTGCTGTGTAGTTTTTATGTAACATTGCGTAAACATATAAACTCCTAATCATGTGTATAAAATCAACAGTAACTGATGCATTTACTCCAGGAGGTAATTGCAGCAGAAGTAATTATGAATTAATAATCACGTCTCCTCTCTTTTTTTAAATAATACATTTTATTTCTCTCTCTCTCTCTTTCAGCTTTTCACAATATATTATCCACACTGTAACCCGCTCACATAATCCTCTGCTATTACAGCTCACAGGTTCATCACAGCCATTTAAACTCGCTCTTTAATAGAACCATTAAAGCAAAAATATAATTCCACCCTTGCTGGTTGTCTGCTGTAATGATCTGTGCCGAACAGAGGAGGGCACTGTGGCTTTGTGTCTGAACCTGCGGAACCGCTCTTGTCTGATCAAGCCCAGAAAACTTTGAAGAAGTCTCAGATTCCCCCGAAGGATACCATGAAAGACAAAGTTGTGAAAGCTGGAGCTGAGGCGATTAAAATTAAAAAAAAAAGAAGTCTGACTTTAAAAGAGCTGGTGTTGTGATCTTGTTTCCTGTGATCCATATATATTGAGCAAACGGAGAGTGATGGTTGAGCGGGGACTGCGGCGCCTCAGTGGCCCTGCAGATGAATGAAGATGCAAATGGAGGGAGGGGGAAGTTAAAGCCTTCAGTGGCACTAAGCACACCCGAGAGGCCGCGGTGCAGAACGCTCAGCCTCAGCACATCGAGGACACGGCCCCTCTGTCTGAGTGTCCCCTTGGCACGCATCACATCCCGTCCATCTACATTCTCATCCAGACAAACACTTGACTCCTTATGCCGAGCGCAGCCAATGACAAGAGACAGATGTGCCCTCCTCGGAGAATACGGTTTGATAAGCTGCTGCTCTGCAAACTGTTAAATAACCCAAAGAAACCACCACAGTAAAAAAAGAGAGACAGAAAAAGGCCTATTTTACATGACAATGGAAATGCCTGGAAACCATATCCGCACACGTTTGGCTGTAAATGTCAATTTCATGTCTTTCTCTATTCATCCATGACGTCTGTGATTGCTTCAGCCTTTTGCATGAGAATGGCTTGAAATGAACATTTCAAGCCTATTCTGGCGCTCAGTGAATGAAATGCATCTTAAAGGACCAGGCTGCAGACCATCACGTGATCAGACCGCTTCGTGGAATATGCGATTGTGCACTGTGATGTGCAGTCCTGAAGTTACGCCGTGCACCAGAACAGGCCCGAGGTGTTCTCTGCAGTTTCCCCTCACCCGCTATATGAGAGACGCTTCCTCGTAGGGACCTGGGCGATGCTGAGGAGTGTCACAACCATGATGCAGGTCCCATGTGGCGTGTTGTTTCCGTGAGTTATTCATGCAAACGATACGCTGGCTTTCCTCTCCACTGGTTACAGGAACTCAGGTGAGCCCGCAGCAGGTGAACCTGTCAGAGTCGGCACCTGCAGGATCCTCACAGCCAGCAGGGAAACTGAAGGACGCAGGAAGTTTTGTCGCGAAGAGCCCGGGAGGCTCGCTGATGAAGGTGAAACACAATGTTGTCTGAAGACACATGGAGCCGAAGACCAACTGTTACAACATGATGTTGCTATTTATAGTAATGACGCTCTAGAAAGAAAAAAAAGTCTGCTAGGAGAAATTTATCTTTAGTTTATGTTTATTTGTTGCATTATTACATGTATTTAAATGAAAATTAATTTTCAAGACCATTACGCAATTGAATAACCTTAAAAGTTATGTACTGAAGTGATCTATCTAATTTATCTAATTATTTTTATAGTGTATGTTTCTTGTGTTAAAAATATATTTTCCTTTTGAATTTTTATTATTAAGAAAAGTCCAAATCAAAAAGGACAAATATCTCGGCCTCTATAGAACATCTACATGTGTCCGATTATCAAGGTCATTATTAGTTAATAAGCCAAAATTCGAATCCCCTCTTGTCCTTTCAGATCGTTGCTCACGCAGCTTTGCTTTGCATTATAATTTGTTTAAATGTTGATTTATGAACTAATTGTCTGTAATTGCTGCTTAGTGCCACAGTTAATCCAGGCTGTCTGCCTCCTGGAGCACATGAGGCCAGATTTGTATAATGAAGTAATTAGTTCAATTATGAAGAAGAAAGTGGGGATAGTGTAAGAAACTGGGAACAAGAAGCTAGAAAATACTCCAGCGCCACGAGTGTCTCTCTATTGTTCTTATTAAACTGTGTCTCAGCAGAGTAAACGTGAAAACACCCTCGTTGTAAGCAAATGCTTCTCTTTATTAAAGCCTGTCACCGGAGTTAATTTGAATCCTCCGATATAGACATTTGTATTCTGTTTTGTTTCCAGTGACATTTTCCGAACCTGCTTTGCTGCAGCTTCTTCGTACATCAAGTTTCCTCAGCTGGCTAACGATCCTCGCTTCTTCACACCTTTAAAAAAAGATACACGGCTGAGTGTCGTCTATTTGGCTCCCGTCATCTGCCAGAAGCTGCCTTCACAACCAACCAGCAGTGCTCCATTGTCTGCCAGCGTTGTCATTGTTATTAGTCTTTTTGGGCTGCCTGTGGAGGTACCGGCCAGGCCCCTGGGAGGCAGGCGCCAGGCTGGATAATTAGTTGTTCTCCGATGCCAGACGGGCACGCTGCCGTCACTTGGAGGGGAAATGGAAAGTGGCATCACTATCACAGTAACACCGGAACAACCTTTGGTGTGAGGGCTGGGTTCCAGCGCATCTGTCACACCACTAGTCGTCTTCCCACTGGCAAGACTGTGATGCTCACCGGTCACAGCATGGATAATTACTTCATCTGAAACGGCATCGCTGTCGTATTGGTCGTGGTTGTGGTGGAATCGATATTATTGAGTTTCTACATTGGTTCTTCTGCGGATCACTGTGGACGTGAGACGTTTAGGCATTTAACAGCTTTCATAAAAGAGAACGCATGTGTTACTTTACTTTAGTGGAACTTTAAAGCTAGTCTGACCTCCAGCAGCTGCATCCTACGAGTTGGACGCCGTACAAGAGAGGCCACGTCCAACAATCCCATCAGGTGCTGAAGAATGCAATTATCTAAAATCCATATTTTCCTGTAATATTAATTTACCTATTACAACTTTTATTCAATGGATAATATTGTAATAAAAGTCACTGACTGTTTTATTATCGTGTTTACACCTGATTTAGAAAGAAAACTAAAATAATCCAATACATTTTTTACAGTGTAAGTTACTGGTGTTATGTTAAATGTCAGATCTTCCTTCTGAAGATTAAACACGAGCTCATTGGTTGATGCACTAGATCGTAAAGATAAGTCATATTAAAAGACTGAGGGTCAGGAACCTGCTCCACAACCAGCTCATATTCTTCATAACTGGTTGTGGTGAAATCAATATTATTGGCTTCTTATATTGGTTCTTCTGCTGATCACCGTGGACGTGAGAAGTTCAGGCATTTAAAAGGTTTCATAAAAGACAACGCATGTGTAATAAATTCAATGCCAACTTTATTTTAATGGCATTTTAAAGACCTGAAGTGCAAGTGTGACCTCCCAGGAGCTGCATCCTACATATCAGACCTTGAGCTTGGAGCCAGAGCTGCCGGTGGCGGCGGTGGCGGCGGCTCTGTGGGAGACGTGGATGGCGATGAGGAAGACAGAGACACCGACGAACAAGGAGCCTCCGAACCCAAGCAGCACGCCGTACAGGACGGGCAGAACCACATCCAACGGTCCCTTCAGGTATGGAGGCACAGGACCCACCTCCACAACCAGGTCCAGGTCACGCCATGACAGATCCTTGACTAACACACACACACACACACAGCACCCAGACGACAGACACAATCACAAAAGGACCGTGGGAGCATTTTCTTTGTCGAGTCTTAACTTGAATTAAACGCCCGGGAGGATTTAGAAAAAAAAATGGACAGGTGATAATTACATTTTTGAATTTCAAGGTGTCCTGGGAAATACTCCTCATACAGCGAGAGTGTTGATGTCGAGGAGTAATGAGTTGGAAGCTTGCCCACGGCCACCAAATCTAATCCAGCATCTCATCTAAACACTTAATAGATTCATGGTTCAGTGAAACATTACATAATTTGTCATTCAGGCGGCCTCCAGAGGGGTAACCCGAAAATCTCCTCTTGACTTCAGTAGCCAAAGATTAAGATTCACTCGCTCTATTTTCTGTATGAGGCCTTTTGTTTACCTTTCCTTTTTCTTTTTCTCCTGTGACCTGCATCCTCCTGGCGATTCGCATCCGACTGGATTGATGGGACGTTTAACGAGCTCACGTACGTGTGATAGTCGTCAACGTAGCGCTTCAGGTTCAAGGTTTTGTCCTCGTTGATGTTCGTCCCCACTTCTGTGACAACCCAAACACAAGCAGGGCCAAGGTAAGAGTATTTCTCTGTCATCTTCAAGTGCTATGAGTGCTTGTGTTCCATCCCGTAAAAAGGTTGTGAATTTGAATTTAATTGTTGTTTTCTTGCCATGAGCATAATTAGTTCTGGCAGGAGAACAACTGTCGTTCTTTAGTTCAGAATAAAACAAAACCAGCCACTCAAGCTTCAACGTACGAGTGGATCTCTTCAGAACTGCAATCAAGTGCAGGATAATTTGCCGCATTCTGCATCCAAACAGCTTTTATTTTCATGCACTCCCCCTCCTCACGTCTTATAACTCATCTCTTCCCATCCTCTCCTTGTCCCTTTTTTCCCTCCAAAGCTGCTGATGAGAGGAGCAGATGGTTTGTTCTGTGGCTGGTGTCGGCTCCACTGAGTCCTCTGTCAGATCATTTACACCTCCCTCTATCTGACACCACTTGAGTTGTGCACACGCTGGACTGCAACACATGCCAACGACTGGCAGTGTGCAAAATATGCCACTTTTTGAAGTTCCAATTAAAACAAATCTCAAAGTAACGAAGCAATTACACACTGTCGTTAGCCGTGCGGAGGCCTTCTTGACCGAAACAAACCAATTCCGAGAAATACATCGACGTGAACCCAAATGAGGCTTTGTTCCAAATTTCCATTTTGTGGAAGGACGTGCTGAGATGTTTGCTCCAACAAGATTTCGCCTCGTTCTGGCCCCACACAAAACTGTTCTGTTTAAAAATAGATCACTCGTCTCTGCATGAGGCACGTGTGCCCCCCCCCCCCACGCCTCTGCTTGTTTCTCACCAATGGCGATGTCGGTTCTGCCGACCTGCTGCAAGGAGCGAGAAAGCTTGTCGTAGTAGATCCGCTCGCCGTATCTCAGCAGCCAGTCTGTCAGGGCCGTCCGGCACTCGGCCTCGCTATCTGGTAAACAGAAAACATATGGATCTGATGCAGACAGGTCTCTGACAGTCAGACAGGCTGAGAAGCAGACAGGTCCCGGGATGGACTTCTCCTCATGTCTGCCTTATTACAGCTGGAAGCGAGCGTCTTCTCTCTGTTATCTGAGAGCTCTCGTCTTGATATCAGCCCTTTGACTTTCAATGCGTGCGGTAGACTATCTTTGAACCCTGTGGACTAATGTGCCAAAAGTTTCAGGTGAGACACGTGTCAGACGTTTCAGCACCAACCCTCAGAGGAAGATGTGTCCCTCTTGGCCCGCGGTTTGAGATCCAGCTGGTTTTTCCCTGGTGAGAGGCGCTCGAGATGCTGGAAGATGTTCTCCTCCGGCTGAGAGAGGACGACCAGAAGGTCCTCGCACTCTTTGTGCGTCAGCAACTCCACCAAACGCTGCAGTTGATGGACACCGACATCTTCTGCCACTAAACAGAGGAACAAACAGGAAAACAGAAACAGATGAGTCTGTTTTCACCGGTCACATTAACAACACTGTAAATCTGATTTAATGAAGCATCGTGCTGACACCGTAAACAACATTTCTGCAGCATGGCTGCTCTCTCAATTAGCAACGGCTGCTCCAGTCAAACTGTCATATTGGCCTTCTCAGCTGCAGAGAATAGAAACCCAATAAACATTTCACCACAGAGAACAGAGCAAATCAGCACATTCAGACTTCGGCTGAATCTTTGCGACGTGCCGGCTGCTGTTGGAACATTTGCTCTCACCTGTGTCCTCTCCGAGCGTCGAGCACAGAAGTGGAAAGATGAAGAGGAGACACAATTTCCACATTTTCATTTCAGCGGAAGTTGTGTAAATCAAACCCAGGCTGCAAAACAACTCACGAGGTTTCAAAACTGACAAGTGATGTGGAGTGAGGTGAACCACTAACAGGGCAACTGACTGTGTGACATCATGATGCAGGAGGTGTTTGTTTCGTTTTAAATATTCAAGTTGTTGCTATTAACAGCTGTTGTTGTATTTGTTTTTTCTCTCACATTTGAATATGATTTTGTGATGACACATGTAAATGTCAAGCAAATGAAGTTTGCTGAATTGAAAATGTAATTGATATTAGAGCCACAGAGAACTGAAAATGCAAATGTGTCACAATGCTGATGCACTTATATTACTATTCAACTATTTAAAAAAAGTTAGTTAGGTTTTTATTTCAAACTTTTTTTCAAATAAAAACATCTATGTAAGCAAATAAGAAAATAGGCCCAAGCAAACAAGTGAAGTTTAAAAACAAATGTTGAAAATAAATAAATCATTTCCAAAAAGGAGTTTTGATTTCATATTTCATCAAAACATTTTGTGAAATGCCACAGTATTCTAGATTTCACCATGAACAACTTAATAACAATCGGTAAAACTCTAAAGTTGAATGTTTCAAACTGTTTAACAACTGTTATGTTGTTGTCCATGTTTGTTTTGTTTGTTTAAAATGAATTTATAGTTTCTCTACATAGGATGGATCAGATACATGCAACACCTCTTTAGTTTATCTTTCTTTACTTCAGGAAGTCACTGAATGCATATTTCCCAGATTTCCATGAAAGTTGGTGGAAGGATGTGATGTGATGTGAGATTAGAACCCATAACATTTTGGTGCAGATCCAGGATTTAACAATTCATCAAACTTGAAATCCGACATGTTTAGACGACTGATGTTTGTGTATGTGTGGAGCAGATCCAAGTCAAAATGTTACGATGAATTGAAACGTGGTTTCACGAGGGCTCGTGTTGGGCGGAGGTTTGCTCTCGGCCTCAGGAGTGACATTCTGTTGTGTTTGCATATTCACTGCAGGTTGTTAACCCGACCACACAGAACATTTG